GAGGGCAGTGTCACTGGCCCTCACATGTGGGATCCGAACCGGGGCCCTCTGGCATCCCAAGCGAGTTCTTAACCATCGCGCCACTCGGCCGGCCCGAGAGTGTGTGTTCTTATTAGCAAATATACTGGGCGAAGCTTAGCTCTTACTCAAGTAATATGATTGTGGTCATTGAAGTTCCAGCTTATTTTACTTTTAAAAGAAAGGTTTCAATTATCCTGTTTCTAAATTGTTATGGCTGATCTGTCACACTTGTTTGTGCATTATAAAATTGATGGGCAATAACCTTTAACGTGATACCTTTGTATCACTCTGAGACAACTGAGAAATGGTAGGTCCTTCTAAGGAGCTCTCAGTGGAGTTATTTTCACAGCAGCAGCAAAAGAATCAGAGAATTGGTAATAGTTTGTGCACATCCTGGCGATGCTCTGGATTATGAACCGAAGCTCTTCAAAATTCTTTGTAGTAATTTTGCCCCAGGGCATCCTGCCAGTGTTCTTAAGCAGCAGTTTCAGATAGCACTGTTTGTGTACACATTTAAGCCTTGGCTGTTTTAGAAAATTATTCGAATTATTAAGAAATTCTCAGGATTGATAGAAACCTTAAAGGTTGTATGCTTCAACCTCTTGGCTAATGTTTGGAATCCACCCCAACCACCACACACACCCACACACCCACACACACACCCCAACCACCACCACCACCACCACCACCACATACACACACACACACCACCTCATCTATTTTCTTTGTACTACACCTCTAGTGCCAGGGCTCATTGCCCCCCAAAACCACCTATTTCACCTGTAAGATGACCTGACATGATGTTTAGATTTTCCTCCCCGTGACTGCACATCTATCTTCCTTCCTCACCCTCTTTTGTCCATAGAGAGCAAATCTAATCCCTCTTTAACATGATAGCCTTTTACTGTGTGAAGAAAGTTTTTTTGTCCTGCTGTCCTCCCCATACCATTTAGTCTTGGCCCAATGAAAATCATAATTTACAATGACCTCAGCTGCTCCTTATATGATCAGCTTTACTCACCATTTTCTCTGTGTAATATGCAGGGTTGAGGGTGGTCTGACCAGGAACTAAAGCAGAGAATGTGTAACCCCTTTCCCTTTTCGTAAGTATAGCCAAATCTCATATTAGGTTTTTGACTGTCACCCATATTCTTGAAACATACTGAGCTTTTTGTCCGCTGAGATCCCCACGTCTTTCACTCATGGTGCCACTGAGCCACATCTCTTTTATTCCATACGTCATATTGCTTAATTTTTATCTGCCCAAGAACAGAACCCCTAGCGCCTAATCTGAGGAGAACAGCTCTTTTAATTTCATCCTAAGCCCTTTTCTCCTACTGGTTTTACATACTGCCAGGTTTGGATCAGAACAGATTCAAATGGTAATCACCATGCTTTGCCCAGACCTTGATTTTCCCCTCCCCACCGCCCTTACCCAGTCTCTGTTGTTAAATACAGTTTATTCCGTTTATTCCTGTAGGATGAATTATTTCTCAGAAACTACTCTGCCATTCCTTATAATTGGGCTTCAGTTTCTTTTTCATGTACCACTCCCTCACCTCTTCCCACCCAAGCTCACTAAATCTCCTGTGTCATGAATGCCAAGTGAGTTTTTCCCCCATGAGGATTTTTATTACCCATATAAATCTGGAGATACAAATGGACTTGGTTGGAAGAGGGAAGGTTGTGTCACCAACTTTGTAATCTAGACACACCTGATTTTTGCCTACCCAGTTACCCTACATAAAAGAAAGATACGAGGTGGGTCTCCTGTTGCTTGTTAGTGAAACCACCTAAGCATTTGTGGCTTTTTCTAGAATCTTAACCAGAATCCATGTCAAGTTCACAGAGGAAGAATTAATTTATTGAATATTTACTGTTTGCATGTAACATGCTATATTGGTATATTGTACCCCATTTCCTCTCAGTTACCTTGTAAGACAGATATTTTTCTATTCTCCATTTTAAAGCAGGAGAAACTAAAGCCCAGAAAGAAGTAAGTTCATTGCTCAGGGTCACAAAGGTTTTAGTGGCAAAGGTAGGATTTAAGCTATTTTAATCCAAAGCCCTTGTTTTTTTCCATAATACTATGCTACCTCCAATCTATTATTGGCAAAGTCAACTTTCTTTCCTTTTTAAAGAAAAGGAGTATAACCTTTAGCTATCTAGTTTCCAATCCTCTTTGTGTTGAAAGTCTTTAAATCATACCTGTCTTTGAGCCATCTCACAAGTGCTCTCATCTTCCTGGGATACAATTCACCCAGCTTAAGATATGAACTCATACAGAATACAGAAATGTTGTAGGATGTCTTCATACATCCGGGATGTCAGTTCTCGCTTACTGGTGTTTGATCTGTCTTCTTCATTCCTATATACATCCTTGATAGAGAAGACAGAAAAAAAACAGGAGTTGAAGAAATATACATTTTCTTTCTCCTTTATTACCTACCGTCTGGTCAGTAACACCCATTGCCTGGTGGTTTGTCTTCTAGCACCGCCAAAGGGAACAAAGTGAACCTTTCTTGTTTTTTCTTTACATTTTCTCTTCTGCAATGCTAAGCTCATTTTGAACTTTTGCCTTCCTGGAACTATTCTTGGATGCTTGGCACTACTTTTATTAATCTTTAGTTATATACTCTTTATTCCATCCTTCATGTAAGTGTTTTTCTAAATCTTGGATTATTTCAGAGTCACTTGTGTAATTCCTAACATTTTTCTCTTTCTCTTTAGGATCAATTGTTAAAAAGTAAGAAACTTAGTTAAATGTAAAACTTGTCCGTTTGAAGGTTTCCAATTATCTTGACCCATCTTCTGTGATAAAAATCTCAAGTTATGGACTTACATTCACATTTTTAAAGAAATACCTGATTATACTGCGGTTTTTCTTTTCTGGCCAGCTGATATTTAAGAATAACCTGGTCAATTTCTATCTATATTCTTGCTACTTTTATGACAAACAGTTCCTTTGTGTAGTGAAAAATGGCAGTTCTCCCAGGTAGTCCTGAAATGTCAGCATTCAAGTTAAGAATTTGTCAAGTACCTCACTGTTAGTCCAATAAAACTTCACACATAATTGTTTATAATCTGTTCCCATGACTACAATCTTTGCGCTTATTTTCTGATCCATTAGGACACATCTCGTATCTGGTTGGTGGTCTCCAAAAACCTCTCAGGAATGTTTTTATATTTTGCCCTTTTCCTCTACACATACACGTATGCTTCAACTTACTTCCACATCCAGTTCATTAGTTTCAACATAGTTGTTATGTGCAGAATCTACAGTATCTTCTACCTGCTCAAATACCTTTCCTAACTTGTCTTGTCTTTGGCCTAAGACAGTCTCCACTCTTTAGTCTGATCTTGTTTCATCCATCTAAAGTCTCAGCATTACTAGGAGATCATATTTACCCTACTGGTTTATCATTGTATTAAAATGTGTTACCCATAATTTTTAGGGAAATATCTCATGACTTTAAATACTTCTAAACTAAAAACAAATGAATAGTAATACATTAAGATATGCCAAAGTTTGGTGGAAAATACTTATAAACTTTTGTTGATTTGCAATTAAGTTATGGTTTAGTGTTCTAACATACCGTTCACATACATATGTTTTCCTTAAGAAAAACCATTTTATAGTCTTCACGACTATAAACTATTTCAGCACAAATTCAAATTTTTCAATAATCTTTTTTTACACATAAAATGTGCAGGTCCTTCTAACTCACTGAATTAGAAATTATATTTTATGAATATTAAAAACAATTCATTATCAATTTAGTATGTCAAACCATTTCTAATTTTATCATTACTCTTCCTCTAGGATTCACCAAAAGCCCAGCTACGCCGGACAATAGAATGTTGTCGGACCAATTTATGTAACCAGTATTTACAACCTACACTGCCCCCTGTTGTTATAGGTAGGTTAGCCAAGAAAAGTGTGATTATGATTCTTGGTAAAATATTTTCTCTGGTTTTAACAATAAGCAAGCTTTCTAGAATTTAACACTACAAATTATTTTTCCCTTTTAATAAGATGTGAAAGGTAATATGTTTACTTTATTGTTTACTTTCATTATCAGGTCCATTTTTCGATGGCAGCGTTCGATGGCTGGTTGTGCTCATTTCTATGGCTATCTGCATAATTGCTATGATCATCTTCTCCAGCTGCTTTTGTTACAAGTAAGAAGATAATTGTTTTGATGCAGAGTATTTTGTTGAACATTAGATATGAACAATTGTTCTTAAAGCCAGTGGGCAGAAACCATTAACTTGCATTCTTTGGTTAGATCTCCTTTAATTAACTAGATTACAGTTTTCTTAAGGGAAAAGAGGATCTTCCTACCAATCATTTATACTTCTTGTTATGTTCATTAGTACTTATGATTTTCTTATTTATGGTATATTGAACTTTTATGTCTGAATGTTTAAAACCTGTCCCAAGTAACCAACTATATTATCATTTTTTAGTTATTTGGGGCTTAAGAATTGTTTTCATTTAGTCACGATTTCAGAAGAAGTTGTCAAAAGAGTAATGAAAGCAGGGTATAAACTTCAAAATTAAAACATCATCTTACTAGCATATGAATAGACAGAAACATCAGTGGAATAGGTTACTAAACCCATAAATAGACACAAGTATGTAAAGAAATTTAGTATATAATAAAGGTAACATTTCAAATCACTGAGGAAAAGATGAATTAAATTATTCAACAAGTAGATTTGGGAGTAGGTGGCTATATGGAAGACAAGTTGGATCAACTGAAATATTTATTATGAATATTACTATTCATAATGTTATAAATATTATGAAATACATTTTAACCAGATCAGAGCTAGATATACGCAAAATGTATTAAATGAAGTACTAGAACAAAGCATGGAGAAATTTCTAAAAATAATCTGAATGTGGAAGACCTTCATGAGTTTGACAGAAAACTTAAAAGTAGGTAAATGCTGTGCTTGCCTCCTTTCATGACCATCTCAAAATTATAACTACGGAACAACCTTTATTAAGAATCGCCTGAAGTCAAGTTGAACAGAAGTCCTGTAACTAAGGATATACACAAGTCACCTCGAGACTGGTGGGGCAGCAGAGATGCAGAATGGGCTGGTCCCACCCCACATGTGGCAGTTAAAAAATCGGGAGGGATATCTTGGCTGCGGAGGACCCCCTGGAGGAGCAAGAGGGTCCCAACCCCATAAGAGATTCCCCAGCCCAGGGCTCCAATGCACCGAAGAGAAATTCCCACAACTTTTGACTGAAAACCAGTGGAGATTGTGGCTAAGTTAGACAGGGTGGCTGGGGTCCCAGGCATTCCTATTAAAGGGCTCATGCACGAACTTACTGACAGACTCACTTACGCTGAGCTCCATCTCTGGAGCAGCAGCTTGAAAGGTGCCAGGGACATAGAGGGAGGAACCGAATTATCTTGCTTCAGGGCTGGGGCTGGAGGGACAGCTTTCTCCTACACAAAAGTACTGGCAGAAGCCATTTATTTTATTGAGCCTCCCCACTCTCAGTGTGCAGATGCAGACAGCCACCATATCCAACTCCATCAACCTGTATAACACTGTTCACCCACCCTGGTGATTTCCTGAGAGCCTATCCAACTTGCGGGCCCAGCCAAACCACCTCCAGTGGCTTTGCCATACAGACGGCCTGTCTTGGCTCATGCTGCGGACTTTCCTAAAATCTCTCAGAGGTTCACAAACCCCAGACAAGCAGAATCTAGACTCGGCATGCCCCGTACCTCTTGCTAAGTGGCCCCAAGCCTGGCAGTAGTGGCAACCAGCCTCAGTTTGCAGCTTAGCCTCTCCCAGGTACCTCCAAGTCTAGTACAAATGGCAGCCATCTGAAGATCACTCTGTATCTCACTCCAAGTGGCCCCAAACAGGGCACAGACAGCAGCTAACCTTGGTCTGCAACAGAGCCCCTCCCAAGAGGCCCCAAAACCAGTACACCTGGTGACCAGCTTCAGACTACACCAGAACACCACCCAACCACCTCCACAAACAACACACCCAAGGGGCACACTGGGCAGGCACCAGAGCCCTGCTAAAGTGAATCCTGCTCCATAGGGTCAGCCCCTGCACAACAGCTCCTCCATTATACTCACAGGCAGTCCTCACAACCAATCAGCCCAAGGGTCATTCCCTCCCATTAACATACAAACAACAACCAAGGCTCAACTACAATAGAAGGGCACACACAACTCTCACAGGGGACACACCTGGAGCACGTGGCTCAAGTGACCAGGGAGACTGCACCACTAGGTCCCACAGGACACCTACTACGTAAAGCTACTCTACTAAGACCGGAAGACATAGCAGTCCTACCTAATACACAGAAACAAACACAGGGAGGCAGCCAAAATGGGGAGACAAAGAAACATGTCCCAAATGAAAGAACAGAATAAAGCTCCAGAAAAAGAACTAAACAAAATGGAGACAAGCAGTCTACCAGATGCAGAGTTCCAAACACTGGTTATAAGGATGTGCAGTGATCTCAGCAAGAACTTCAACAAAGAGATAGGAAACGTAAAAAAGGAGATGGGAAACATAAAAAAGAACCAGTCAGAAATAAAGGATACAATAACAGAAATGAAGAATACATTAGAGGGAAGCAACAGATTAGATGAAGCAGAGGATCAAATCAGCTATATAGAACATAAGGTAGCAGAAAGCAGCCAATTAGAACAGCAAAAAAGAAAAAAGAATCCAAAGAAATAAGGAGAGTTTAAGGGGCCTCTGGAACAACATCAAGCTACCAACATTTGCATCATAGGGGTACCACAAAGAGAAGAGAGCAAGGAATTAAAAACCTATTTGAAGAAATAATGACGGAAAATTTCCCTAACTGGTAAAGGAAATAGACATACAAGCCCAGAAAGTGCAGAGTCCCAAACAAGATGAACCAAACAGGCCCACACCAAGACACATCGTAATGAAAATGCCAAAAGTAAAGGACAAAGAGAGACTCTTAAAAGCGCAAGAGAAAAGCAGCTAGTTACCTACAAGTGAGCTTCCATAAGACTGTCAACTGATTTCTCAACAGAAACTTAACAGGCCAGAAGGGACTGGCACGAAATATTCAAAGTGATAAAAAGCGAGGACTTACAACCATGATTACTCTACCCAGCAAAGCTATCATTTAGAAAGGAAGGACAGATAAAGAGCTTTCCACACAAGAAAAAGCTAAAGGCGTTCATCACCACCAAACCAGCACTACAAGAAATGTTAAAAGAACTTCTTTAAGAGGAGGAAGAAGAAGAAAAAAGATTGAAACTGTGAATAATAAAATGGCAATAACTACATGTCTATGAACAATTACTTTCAATGTAAATGGATTAAATGCTCTAATCAAAAGACATAGGGTAGCTGAATTGATAAGAAAATTAAACCCTTTCATAATGCTGCCTACAAGAGACTCACTTCAGATGGAAAGACAGACTAAAAGTAAAGGGATAGAAAAAGATATTTCATAAAAATGGAAAAAAAAGCTGGAGTAGCAATACATACCAGGAAATAAAGACTTTAAAACATAGCCTATCACAAGAGACAAAGAAGGACCCAGTAATTCCACTTCTGGGTATTCATCTGAAGATAACCAAAATACTACTTTGAAGGGACATCTGCAGCCATATATTCATTATAGCATTGTTTACAGTGGTCAATCCAAAGAACAAAATAAATGGTCAAACAAAACAGAAGCAAACTCATAGATAGACACAAAACTTTTTGATGGTTGCCAGATGGGAGGGAGGTTGGGAGATAAGCGAAAGGGAGGAAGGAATTAAGAAGTACAAACTAGTAGTTACAAAATGGTCATGGGGATGTAAAGCACAGCATAAGGAATATAATCAATAATATTGTAGTAACTATGTATCGAGTCAGATAGGTAGTAGATTTATCGGGGTGATCACTTCGTAAGTTATATAAATGTCTAATCACTATGTGGTACACCTGAAACTAATTTAATATTGCATGTCAATTGTAATGGAAAAATTATTTAAGAAATCTCCCTCCAACTCTATTAGGAAAAAAAATTTAGAAGCCAAAAACCCTTAAAATTAAAAAAAGCAAGGATTGATGGTATCAACTACACAAATAAAACTTTACTACATGGCAGAAACCACCATCAGCGGTCAGAAGACCGACTACCAGTGAAAAGCTCTGGCAGCTCATATTACAAAGAACTGATTTTCTCAAACAGAGAGCGTCTATAAATCAGGAAGAAAAAAATGTGGCAAGTCATTGAGAAAAGAGGACACAAAAATGAACTCATGATTTATCTAAAATAATACGTGTGGCTCTTAAAAAAACATTAAAAGATGCCTCAAGAATACTCATAACTCGGGCCAGCCGAGTGGCGTGTTGGTTAAGAGCTGGCTTGGGACGCTGGAGGGCCCCAGTTCGGATCCCACACATGAGGGCCAATGACACTGCCCTCTACAGCTAAGATGCTGAACAACAGCTCAACCTGGAGCTGGGCTGCTGTGAGTCACCGGCGACAGTGTGCTGCAGTGGGTTGCCATGGCTGCCATGTGTAGCCAGCAGTCAGCATGAGCGGCCAGCAGCCACCGTGAGTGGCCGTCCAGAAGCCGGCAACTGATCTGTCTCACCCAGGAAGAGCGCAATGATGGTGCCAACTTGGGCCAGTGAATCAATGTCCTCCACAACTAGACTGAAGAACAAAAAAAAAAAAGACAGCAACTTGTCTGTTCCCCTTCCCCCCAATTCCCCAGTGCTGTTCCCATCCCCCAATTCCCCAATACAAATCTTAAAAAAAAAAAGAATACTCATAACTTGAAAAATATATATTATTGCGTTGTCGGAAAAGTCATGACATATTTTGTCTATGTTTTTCAAAGGTCATTTATTTATATAAAGAACAAAGGTCAATCAATGATATATTGCCCATTTTGTTTGATGACCTTTTGCCATCTTTCAGTGAGCTTCATAATCCCTCTTTCATAGAAGTACCTGTCTTTATTTGCAAAAAGCTGAACAACTGCTGATTTACAGCCTCATGTGAATTGAACATTATACCATGCAAGGAGCTTTGAAGAGAGTGAAACAAGTGGAAGTCTGACGGCACAAGGTCAGACGAGTATGGTGGGTGTGGCAGCACATCCCATCCAAGCTCCAATCATTTTTGATGGGTGATCAAACTTGTGTGT